CAGGAATTCTTTGATTAAATCATATGCATCTTAGTTTTAGTGAACAAGCCTGTCTACCCCCCTTTTTTTTGTATTGATACTTTCTACACAATTTCATCGTCTGACAGAGGATCAAACATTTTTAGTACTATTATTATCATGTTAACATAGTTCGCACTGGTCAGGCCCTATCCCCCGAAGCCCCGATACATTCTTGAGGGCGCGCCAACCAACGACCACTCCCCAAACCGTGGGATAAGTGATCATTGGGTCCAGCATGTGGTAAGAGCAGTGAGCCAAGTATGACAGCCTTCTGCATTTGTCTGGCTAAAACTTCTGCCGTACTGCGGCAAGCCGAAATGATTTTGAGACTTGAGAGTAGAGAAGGCATATTTCCACCAAAGACTTCAATAATCACAACAATCATCTTGACAGAATGACTTTCTTATTCCTCGTCCACTTGAACTTCAAACGTTCAAGCCAGTCTCTATATACCTACACAGTAGGTTTAATGGACTGACGCCTATCAGAAAACAACTACTCCCCTGGCTAATACCACGAAGGGCGTTGGATTATATCAGACNGTGCATCGGTTTATCTTCAATCGACAGTTCATATATAACTTAAATGGCTAGCAATTTTCCAACAAAGACGAAAAAATCACATGGCGTCATCTCAAGATCAAGTGTCTCGAAATAAATGAAGCGGAAAATACGAGTGGAAAAAATATTGCGTCGTCCGTATTTTACGTACTCGACCTTATCAAATGCTTCCTGTTTGGAAAACATGGAAGAAGACATGGAAAAGATATGTGTAACGGGAATTGACTGTTCTGTGTAGTTTATTCCTGAGTTGAAAACGGATTTTGAGTTGGAAACAGATTTTAAACAGATTGTAGTGAATACGAGTATTTGATGTCACTCCATGCGATAGGTATTCTATAAATACGCTGTATTTTTACGAAGTAAGGTGAATTCTCATGTTTCTTGGAAAATATTTACTAATTCATGAAACTTTATTTTCGTTGCGAAGCATCGTCCTTTCATGGATGTCTTCAATCGTGTGAACAGAAAAATTTGCAGGGGACCAAATCTGGTGGATACGGTGGCTGAGGCATGATTACGGTGTTGTTAAAAAATTACGAATGAGCAATAACGAGTGAGCAAGTGCATAATCGTGACGCAAAATCCTTGAATTGTTATTCCACAATACCGGAAGTTTTCTTCGTATTGTTTCTTGCAAGCGGCGCAAAACTTCAAGATAATACTCCTTATTGAGCGTACGACCATGTGGCAAGAAATTCTAATGCACTACGCCATGGTAATTGAAAAAAAACAATGAGCAGAACCTTGTCATTTGATTTAACTTACCGTTTTTTGTCTTGGCTTTCATGGACTCTTCCATTGATGAGAAGAGCTAACTGATGTTTGATCTTATGCGAAATTGTCCAGGAACCTGTTACCAAAGATGATTGTCGAAGTAAAAGACGTCCTCAAGAAATGCGACAACATACTTATCCCTCAACTGAAACGGAAGTCACAAGTTTCCAACCCAACGGTATCGAAACTATATTACTTCCCAAAAATCCACAAACCGGGAACATCAATGCGCCCTATCGTGTCAGCTATTGGTGCTCCTACCTACCAAATAGCAAAGTGGCTCACTAAGGAATTTGAAACCTTGTCTATAGCGGAACCAGTTTTAGTATAAAAAACTCTTTAGAGTTCATACAACATCAAAAAAAAATGGTTCTGCAAGAAGGTGAAATTTTGGTTTCTTTTGATGTTAGTTCCTTATTTCCTAGCGTCCCAATCCCACAGACCTTGCAATACCTCAGGGAATCACTAAAGAAAAATAATTTCAATAATAACGAAATTGATGAATTCGTTTCTCTTACTAATTTGTGTATGAAACATAATCGGTTCCAGGTGGAAGGTTGCTTTTATGAACAACAGGAAGGAACGGCCATGGGAAATCCCTTGTCCCCCAAACTGGCAGACCTGTTCATGAGCAGATTCGAAATGGAAACCAAAGAAAAGTCGGAAGTATTTTCCTAGGATTTGGCTAAGGTATGTGGATGATATATTTGATACCATAATATCGAATATTGAGGACTTTGTTTCCTTTTGAAATAATAGATGTCCATCAATAAAATTCACGTATGAGATAGAAAATAAGGGACAACTACCATTTCTTGACATTTTGGTAATGATGAGCCAATATGGATGGTTAAGAATACGATATATTCAGAAAAGAAATAAGCACGTACATGTATATTCCTGACAGTTCACATCACTGTGGACAGCACAAACGTGCTGAGTTGAATTTTTTGGTGCATCGTCTTTTGACATTTGACACATGATAGGTTCACAAATGAAAAACGTACAATGCAGGAAATAGCAAAACAATACAATTAAACTTCCAGAAAAGCCAAACGATGAGAGTCGCTGAATGAGGATGTGAAAATAAATTTGGTCAAACGCCTTTTGCATGTTCGTATAAACTACGTCAACTTGTTGCTTTTGGTCTAAAGCATCTGAAACATGTTTCGTAATTCACGGAAAGGAAAATTTTAGCTGCTGATATTGAAATCACTCTTCTTGAACTATTGCAGAAGGCACTTTGCTACGTCATAGCACTTGACGAATCATGTGACATTTTTGACGATGAGGAAATGTCTATTTTCATAAGATTTCTTGATATTGAGTGCCAGATTTTTAAAGAAGAGTTGCTAGCAATATTTCCGTTGAAAGTTAACACTCGAGGAGAAGATTTATTCATGGTCATTGCTGAGTTTATTACTAAATCTAACATAAATATAAATCCTCCAACTCTCAAAAATATTCATAATATTTGTGGCATCAAATGGAAAATAATGATTGAAATGATAATTGTGAAAGGCATATAAAACAGTTGGGCTGAAAAATTTGTAGGCTATCATAGAAAACATTATTTTTTGCCTTTGTTGCGACACAATGCGTGAAACAGTCATATAATTTTCTGATGCCATTTTTAATGTACGATTTGTTTTTAGCAAAATAGACCTCCGTTTTGACGATTACCTCTTCATTGGCGCAACATTTCATTCCAGCGAGCACTCTCTTGATTCTGGTTGGATTCTCCAGATATCTTAACATTACCACGGAGGCAGCTACAGCTACCTGTGTGACTTCCGAATTCAGGAAAAGGATATAAAAAAGGGGTGTTACTGAGTGTCTATGAATGAATTCGGAAGGAGAAGATTTGTTCGAACCGCACTCAAGAAAAATTGATGGCAAACCACAGACACGTGTTTCTGGATATTGGCCTTATCACCGCGGTGTAGCCAAGTGCAAAGATGGGCAACACTTGGTTGCCGAAAACAGGAAGACAGCACAAACGAACGGAGTCAACAACAGGAGCCTACCGCACATTTGTGATTATAATTAGGAGACCTAGAACTCCTAGGTTATATCAACATTACCACGGAGGCAGCTACAGCTACCTGCATGACTTCCGAATCCAGGATATGAATATAAAAAAGGGATGTCATTGAGTGTCTGTAATTCATTTCAGAAGAGGCAGATTAGTTGGAACAGCACTCAAGAAAAATTGATGGCAAACCACGGACACGTGTTTCTGGATATTGGCCTTATCACCGCGGTGTAGCCAAGTGCAAAGATGGGCAACACTTGGTTGCCGAAAGCAGAAAGACAGCACAAACGAACGGAGTCAACAACAGGAGCCTACCGCACATTTGTGATTCCAGTTATGAGACCTAGAACTCCTAGGATATCTTAACATTACCACGAAGGCAGCTATAGCTACATGAGTGACTTCCAAGTCTAGGATATGAACTCTCAATACCACTTAATAACTTCTACTCATCTTTCATTGTTTCCAGGAATGTATATTGTATTTGTAGTTTATGGAATGTTTTGCTGTGTTTCAATTTGTATTTGTTCTTCGAAAAGTGAATCATGACTTTTGAATTTATGGATGTTTAGGTTTTCCCAGATGTCCATACGGTTTCCTTTATTGACTTGTTCCATAAGTTTGATGTTTTGTGGTAGGGAAAAGTTATGTTTGTTTAGTATGGCCTGTGTTGCGAGGTTTGAATAATATGTTATTGGGTTTATGTATACTTTTTGTGCTCGTCGTACCTTTGAATCAGTTTTTCTTGGTTTGGTCGATATAGAATTTGTTGTAGTCCGAGCATTGTATGCTGTACAATCCGTTTGAGTTTTTGTCTTCTTCTTTTTCATAGTTGTTTATTTTTTGTCTCATTTTCCTGTTGGTCTTGTGAGTGATGTTGATGTTCAAGGTTTTGAAGATGTTTGTTAATTTTTTGGTTTGTTGACCTACGTACGTAAATGCTGGAGTGGTTTGATCCTATTTCTGAATTTTTTGTTTGATTCCATTTTCTAATTTATTTATTGTCTTTTGAGTTTATCCATTCTCGTTTGCTATTTGGTATATCATTTTCCTTTCCTTGTTCCAGGATTCATTGCTAAGTGGCATCCTTAGCATTCTGTCTATAAACGCGTTATAGGCAGCCATTTTGTGTGATGGTGGGTGGTTCAAACTTGCAGGTATGGTGGAGCTTATTTGTGTAGGTTTCCTGTATATTACCATTTGAAATTTTGTTTTGTTGTTTTTATATCCGATAGTTATGTCCAGGTAGTTAAGTTCTGAGTGGTTTTCTTCCTCTATGCTGAAAATCAGTTCCTGATTCATTTTGTTAATTTCCTTCATTATTTATTCCACTCTTATTCCTTTGTTATTTCAAAGGTCAGTTTTTGTCAGTTCATGTTGAAATTGAATGCTTATATGAAGATGGAGAACTAGAAAGCTAAAGCCTTTCTTACTCACAATAATTTTGGATTCAACAATATCTCAGAAACTTTTATTTTCAAAACATGCGACTACGAATATTTTCTGTGAGTTGGGTTCTATTGACGCATTTTCAATTTTTCATTGATTTTCCGGAAATAAAGAAGTGAAGCTAGGGAGTTNAGAGCTGTTATATTGTGATATGTCAGATGAAGTTACCAAATTCGTTTTGAGGAATTCGCCGTTTTTAAAACGAATTGTCATTGGCTGTCTCATAAATATGACGGATGGTGATATATTCAGGCTTTGTGCGGAGTGTGAGTTCAGTAACCTGGAAGTGATACTGTTTTCCTATGCAAAATCCTTGACAATTATCGCGGTGGAACTCCTTATAGGACATTGTCCGAATTTGAAAGTAATGGGACAACTGAGTAGCTGGGATATCCATCCAGAGGAAATCGATTATCTACGAGGTGTGATCTCATCAACAAACACTGATGTGAGACTTTTAATTACAGAAAATATAACCTGACCGCTAAGTCCGGAATTATCTACGACAAATCGTGTCTAAAATGGGAATAAAAATATTATCAGGACTCCTTTGTTCTACATTCCTTTACACTCATATCAATTCGAGAGAGATTATCATGAACATTTCTATCTACTGGTTGAGATACCTCGATTTGTGCCTAGGCAAAATTCTAGGCACCATTGAAAAATGAAAATTTAGACTCACTCACTATTTGTCTCAAAACTATTTCCAGTTCGACGAAAAGTTTTATTCATGCAACGAAGGACTTATATACAGGGCTTTTCATGATGAGCGTTAATTAGCCGTTTCTGGCAAACTATTCAACGGATCAACCTGAAAATTCCACAGTATGCATAAGTCAAGATGACCTACACGCCTAAAATATTTTAGACGAAGCGGCGTTGTCGCTTCTACTATAAAGTAGCGGCTTCTTTGATTTTTCAAATGGAACACCCCGTATATAATATCATATTATGATTCATTATCACTTTGTCAACAAATTCATATACTATTTCCCTATACC